TAGTGATAATTATCATGATATTACAATGATATATAATAGTGTTATAGCATATAGATGATGTTCATAAAAGCATTAATCGCATTGATAATATTACCTGATAACGATGATGTTAAAATTAGCATTCAAAATTGGACAAAACAATGAAAATGTTTATCATATAGCTTGAAATAGTAAAATGCATGCTAATGCTAATGATTAAAAAAAAGTTTAATTGAGAATTTATTTCCACATTTAATTGTTGGATATTTCATTAAATCTGAAATATTTTATTATGATTGGATGACATTTCTTACAACAATAAGCAAAATGGTCACATTTTGAATAAAAAAAAAATTCTTTGTTGCCTAATATTATTAATTCGTAATCATTGAAATTTTCAGCAATTATGAAAAACATTTGCCATTTTATTGCTTCAACATAAATTATTAATAATTTTTGAAAAAATTACGCAACAATTTTTTACGAAATGATTTTCGTAGTTTTTTATCTGTTATGTTTTGAAGGAAAAAAAAAGAAAAGATCAAAGATCGGATAATTTAAATTAAACAAATGTATTTCAAAAACTTCAGATTGAAAATCTAACACGTCAATTATTAATGATTTTTTGTTAATTACTGCAAAACATAACTTAAGAATTGCTGATATAACAAGTATTAAAATACAAATTTAAACGAAATGATTACTTTTTATAATGTTAGAATATTTTTTATGATAGCTAACTTTTTTTTTTTATATTTATGTCACATTTTATTTATTGTATATATATGTGACAAATATTTTATATTTATTTGTTGTGAATCAAAAGCGGAAATAATCCAAGACATGTTGTTATAATGTTTTCGTTTTTTTCCTTTTTTTTTATTTAGTAAACAATTTTTTTCTTTTTGAGGGAAAATTTACATTCAATAGAAAATTTTATGATTCACTGTCAAATACAACTCATTGTATTCATCGTATATTTGTCTTTTTTTCTAAACCAAGTTTTTAAATTTTATTTATTATTATTTTTTTTTGCTTTTTAAATATTGAATGAAATTCTTATCATGAGAATTACAAATGTTATCATTTGATATGGCAGTTGTAGTTTGTTATCAGTGGAATATTTTCAATCTATCATTTGTGATAATTTTAAATGTGATTTTTCAATTTAACATGGAATGATTTTCGACTATTAACACTTGGGAGATTTTTAGGAAATTAATGACAAACTTAATTAAACTCTAATATTAATAAGGATTGTGTTAATGTGAATGCTGTGAAATGATAGCGTATTTTCGTTAATTTAATTGTTTAAGAGAAATATTAGAATTCTAAAAGTACATAAGATAAATAAAACAAGTGAATTTTATATTGAAACGTATTAATAAATAATATGTTTGTAAATTAATTTAATAATAAAATTGTTGTTTCAAAAATTACTAAATAAAGAAAATATATTCGAATATTTCATATATTTAGCAAGTTTAATCCCTTAATCTATGGTTAAAATATCGTGAACATATATGAAGATGTCAAATTAAATAGAATAAGTTATCTGAAAGAAACTTATCAACTTTCATAACTATTCAACCTTTTTAGCTACAAACTGATATCTGGTAATTAATTGCAAATTAAGATTTGATAATTACCAACATTGGATAACAGCACAAATAGAAAATGCTTTTACTGGCAGGAATTAATTTCTCCTTTAGTATTTATAATACAATCATGTAATTAGGCATTAAATAAGAAATGACGACCAGCTAATGATCAGCCAATACTAACATTCTACTCAGTAAAAATGGCCAGATAAATATTAGTGACCAGTTACATATGGTCGATATTGATATTATAATCAATGATAATGACCAAAAAAAGAAGCAATAATGACCAGTTCAATAACGTCCTAATTAATTCAACAAAAGAAGGCTGAATTGTTCTTTGATGTACAATTTGAAAATTTGATTATAAAAATTGATTTTAATAACAAATCATTTAGTGTAATTCTACCAATGATAACTCTTACAATATTGATATTGTTGTGATGAAAATTAATTTTATTATAATTAATATTATTTAATTAGGATTTAATTTTAGATTTTATCACTTTTACTATGTTATTACTCGGGAGTTTATTGTTCCTATTCAAAATGTTGGCCATTTTGGTTTCCCAAAAATCGTCAACGTTTTCAGGTTATTTTTTCGTTAATTTATTTAATTACAATAACATTCATAATCATAAGTCCTTATCGTCATACTTATCATAACCATCAATCACTTTAATCATACTTATCATAATCACCAATCATTTTAGTCATAGTTACCATAATCACCAATCATTTTAGTCATACTTATCATAATCACCAATCATTTTAGTCATATGTATCATAATCACCAGTTACTATGGTCATACGTATATATAATCACCAATCATTATGGTCATATTTATCATAATCATAAATATCATTATAATCATAGTCATCATGATTATTGCTATATTTATGTAAAAATTTGAAGAATTGTGAAAACATATTATATGATATTCGTAATCTTACGTTTCTATAATTTGTTTATTATCACTATCACTATAATGAATCATGATTTTTATAAACACTTTCATATTTCAGGAAGAAATGGAATTAACGGAAAATTCTGATAGTAAAATGAGTGAAAAAAATGAAAATGATTCAACTAATAGCTATCAAATATTTGAATTATTTGTGATGTGTACAGCAACATTTATCCTATTATTATCACTTGTTTGGTTACTTGCTAATTCAATATTTAAAAAAACTGAAATTAGACAAGCATATAGTAGATTTGTAAGTTTCACTTTTGTTTTTCCCTTTTATTTTTATTTTTTTAAAAATTCAGAAATAAAAGAAAAAGGTGAGGGATGAAAAATTGAAGGAGAAATGTAGAAATAGAAAGTATGAAATTTTTTCTATTAACAGTTGGTTAATTTCTATAATTTTTGAATCACTATTGAAATTGGAGTAGTTGAACAGGAATTCAATTAATCATAAAGATAAGAAAATGATGGTAGTATAATTCTTAAGTCTGTTTTTAGGAAATTAATAAAAAAGAATTCTAACTTCGAAATTTGAATTTTAGATTTTGTAGCAAAAAAAAATTTAACTGAACATAAATTTCAATTAATCATTATAGGAGGAAAGTAATAAAATCAATAAAAAAAGAAATTTAATTTTTAAAAATTTACAATGTTAGATTTTGTTAGCCGAAAAATGTTGTACAATATGATCTGATTATTTCTACATGTTTAAATTGTTGAACAAAACAATATTTCAACATTTCATTCAATCAGGTCAAGTTTGATAGTTAAAAATTTGAAAAATTTAATAATTTTATTTTAAAAGGAAATTTAACTTTGAAACGTACAACCCATAGGAAATTTATCTGAACTGTAATTTAAAAAAAAAACGGAAACTTTAAAATTAAGGAAGAAAAATATTTATATTTATATCAGGAAATGCCAACTGCTGTTACATGCTCATTATTGGCCGGAATTTGTGCTGTTACCGAATTTCATTATTCCATTGATTATTCATTTTTACATTGGAGCGAAAAATGGACATTTGCTGGAGTAAGTACTTACTTATCTTTTGAAAGTTATAAAAATGTTTGAAAAAAAGTCGCAAAATTTTCATTTCTTTTAAAATATTCATTGGACACCTCTTTTTTTTCAGATCGATGCGACAGCATTGTCATTTTTGCATGCAATTATTGCATTTGCATTACATTAATGAAATGGCCAAATATGAAAAAAATATGAATTATAATTATTAACACTAAGATTAGGATTATAATAATTACTAAGATAATCAATCATACATTTAAATATTTAACTTTGTCATAATATCATCAATATATTTGACTACTATATGTAGGATAATTTTAGTATCATTTACAAATATCATTTTATGAATTTCTATTGATCTGTTGAAAATAAAATTACCATCTAAATTGTAAATGATGATAAATTGAAGGGAATATTGTCAACTCGAAATTATCAATTTATAAATGTTACAGAAAATGATAATACACAATAAGATAATATTGGTTCAACTTCAAATTAACATATTGATTGCAATGAGAACAATGCAATTTGTTTATTACTTTGAAAAAGGTACAATCACATATCATTAGGTAATATAAATCGATATTTCAATTGTTAATTCATCACTTCAAGTCTCATGGTTCCCAGCCCAGAATCATTGATGTTTCACAAACACTAAAATTTGAACCATGAGGTTACTAAAAATTATATTCTTCCTTTTTTATATCATAATGTTACCCCAAATCCAATTAATATGTTAAAAGCTTTGATCAAAGTATTTTTCCAAACTAATAGGATTTATTATTTTTGAACCTTGCAGTCTACGTAGTCAGATAATGATCAAGAAAAGGTTAGGAACCACTACTTTATATATAACCAATACTTTAGTATTTGTTCCTTTATTTGCGATCTTTTTCTACTGCTAATATTGATCATGTGCCTTCTGTTTTTTCATTGGTTTAAATAAACTTGTGTCTTTTTACCCTCTTTTTTTTTTGAAAAGTAATAAACAGTTAGTTAAACACTGCCATTATGCAATAACTACTGCATTGGTCAACTGGAATAACTTCAGGGAAATGACAAAAATGAATACAATACGAAATACGCGAATCTATATAATGCATAATATGTCTCCCAATGATAAGGTAACAATTAAGAGAAGAAAAGAGAGCTAGCACAGAATAACAAAAGATTAAGCACTATGCATCAAGAACAAAATATCTGTCACACATAGTCACAACTTCATGGAAGTCTTCATCATTTCGAAAATAACAACAATATGAATAATACTTTTAAAAAAAACAACAGCAAACAACAAGTATCATTCACCCGTATCAAAAATGAAATTCAACACTTGAAAAGAAAGTGCAAAACTTTTCAGAAAGACCAAAAAAAGAAAATTGATAGAATTATTACTATTGTTCGGATATTAATGTCACCAAATCGACACACGTGTATACCACGACGAATTGAAAAGTGTAGGGAGAGGTTACTTCAAGTTTATCAATTTAGTAACTATTTCATTGCTGCATGACTTTCCCGGAGTTATTATCTAGCAGTAAATAACATTAATATCACCACAAGATGTTTTTAGATAAAAACACAAAAAATTATCTTGGAAAAATTCATTGTCCCCGAATAAAGTTAGTGTTGTAGAAGAACGGTGAGATCGGGAAAATATAACAGGTTAATACTACAGGAAAGAGAAAACAATAGGGAGAAAGAACTGAAATACCAGACTTTTACAGAGCATTTACTAGCTGCCATCTACAGATTAATTTCGAAGAAACATCAATCCGCCCAATCAATTCAGAATAATGTATAACAGCTGTGATGACGTATGCTAGTTATTCTGATTCAAAGACCTATTCTAAACATTTAAGTGATAAAAGACATGAAGCATGTATAGTTAAAATAGACAAACACTACGATTTGAAGAAAGAACCAAGACGAAATTCAAAACTGCTGAAATTCGCCATTTCACCAAGACCGGCTGCATCATTCATTCCTGGACATTTGAAACGGCCACTTATTTGACCTGTGATGGAGGCTTCCTGATCCAACTTTGAGTTGTGCCGAAGAAAATTTTCCAACTACAACTAAGACATTTAGAAAATATATTAGTTATAATAATCTAGTAGACCCATTCTCAACTGTTTTTCAAGATCACTAACAACTACCAACATTATGAAAGCGTACCATTGTAAGCATGTGAGGCATAATGGGACCATTTTCCCACTCGCAGACGTAAAAATCAGCACCATCCTTTGTGAACTCGCGATATTGACACTGAAAAACTATCGGTCAGTTAAAGGATAAAGAATTTGAAGTGTTTTAAAACAGATCGAACGTGACAAACAAATATGCTTACTTTCAAATTCTTCAGTACTGCATTTAGAAACGGTTGTCTGGCCAAAAGTGTAGGTGGAAAGCCGGCTTGTGGTCCAGTCGCAACACGTCCGAAATTTGATGTAGTCATCATGTTATAAAGAGCCTTAAAATACTATAAATTACAAAACAGCTCAGTGAATAGTCCGGGAGTTCCAAAAATAGGGGTAAAATTCGAATTTACCGCAATGCTATCTAAGTCGTTTAGCACAATTGCACTTTTCCTATTTTCATCCACGAAATCTGGATCCATGGATAATGAACATTCATAGTCTAGAGAATGGCTTGACATTACTGATTTACTGCAAAACAAATTTTTCATGAAAAATGTTTGGAAAAAAACGAATAGACACAAATTTCCTAGTATCGGTAATAGATATAATTTTTTAAAAAAGTATAAAGATCCAACTTTTCCCTTAAAAAAAATCAGTCCCTCAGCTTCAATCAAAAAGCTCTCAATAAAACAAACAATTATCAAATATTATAGCCGGTATCACAAATTTCACTTACTTTCGCGTAATCTTTAAGGTTTTCCTAGGAGATATACCTATTTCTCTCAGCCACTCATCATTGTCTGTGTCATTCGAGCTGTTTTGGTCATCCGAACTGGAATAAAACTTTGAGAAATAATGTGACTAAATAATAGGTGAATGATAGTCTGACAAAATAATCAAAGGATAGATCAAAAGGGAAATAAAGAAAATAATCAAAGGTAAGCAAACAGCAAATTGATAAATATCACATGGATACTGTTTACCGCAAGTGTCTTTACTTCCAAATACACACAATATCAAAAAATTTCAATTAATACGACATATTTTCTCGTTCAGTTAATCTACCTGCTCTCTTTCAGTTAACTCATTCTAATAAGAGATAAAACCATGGACCAGAGAAATATGATTAACATATTTTTATAAAATAAATAAGCTATTATTTGTCACTAACCTTTCGTTTTCTATTTCATTTTTCTCATTCTTTCCCCTTCCATCACTTCCTGTTTGATTTTCTTTCGAATCGCATACCAAAACAAAATCATCACGCCTTCCAGAAAATGAACTATCTGATGATATCCATGACTGTTCCTTCTTGTTATCAGAAATCAATGGTGGTTGACTTTGCGTGGTTTGCAGCAAACTATTACTGTTTTGAATTGAATGTTTGAATGATGAACGTCGTGAATGACGAAATGGCATTGAATATTTTATACCTAAAATTACAACACTTTATCGAGTTGCAGACTGAACACTGCTCAACTTGCTTCCTATTCAACTTGATCATTTTTGTATAATTAAACGGCAAACATCATTGAGAAACCGTAATACCGCAATTTTTTCTAGCAAATTTCAACCAACACGAATTCAAAAGATGTGAAAAATACTGTTACATAAGCGTTAAATGTGAATAAAATTTCAAAAAATATTACCGTCTTCTCGTAACTGTTGACGAAATCCATATGATGTAGGTGTTATAACAACCTGGAAATTATATTTTTCACCGTTCCTGCTTGAATTCTCATTTACTTCAGTAATGCCTTTCGAAGTTTTCCAAAATAGTATTGTATATGTTGGACAACAGGCGTAAAAATACTGTCGCTTTCCGAATCGCCATGAGTGGTAGAGTTGTTCAAGAGATAAAAACCTGTTGGAATATAAAATTCATTCACTTGAAAAATTCTATACAATGATTAAAAGTTTCAAAAATTTCCGGTAATAACTGGTTTGACCAGACCATACCATTGCATCGTTAGTGCTTGAACAAGTGGATCACCAAGTGTATGCAAACTTGGCACAGCAGGATTTCTGACACCTATCAATCGAGAATCATTGTCCAGGCGTGGAAATGACGGTTGCCAGGCTAAATCCGGAAACTGCCAATAAAGAGTGCAGGCTAGAAATTTAGATAAATCGCTGATCGATCTTCCAGTTGTTTCCAAAGCTATCTGGAAACTATTTGTTAAGAGGTCACTTTATCCAAGCAGAACTAACTATGCATGATTGATCGATCATCATCTTCTGGTCCCAATACAGGTCGAAAAGGAGAGAAAACGATTTTTCTCTTAATGCAACTATTTAAAAAATAAACATCGTAGAATTTACGACTACCTATACATGCTAAACATTCATGATAACCAAGCATAATTCTCTTGATTATGCCGTTAAATACAAATAATAATTTCAAAATGTTTACATCTTACCTCATTAGTTCCAGTTTGAAACAAACAAAACAGTTTAATTGCATCGTCATAAGCTGCTGAAATAAGTAAAAGAAATTGACAAAATCGAAAGAGAAATTCATAGCCAAAAAAAACGGTGAATCATCTCCTGAATCTTTTTTGCTTTGCTGCAGGTTTAAAAGTTTTCGTTTTTTCTGTGAACCTGGAATATTTCTGAAAAAATTTGAGGAAATATCCGACCATAGACAAATCGAGCACGGATCTACAAGTATTTTTTTAAGTTGGGAATGTATTACTTAAGTTATAATTGCATGTTTTATAAATTTTACCGGTCCCTCTTGAATTTTCCAACCAGAAGAAACGCTTCGATGATTCTAAGCGTAACTTAAGACCAAGTCGAAGATCAACTGGAAGTGAATCCACTTTTGTTTTCGATTCTTCTATTCTTAAGGATTTCTTTTTTGGCGTTGAACAATTGAATTCGTCAATGCTTGAGAAATCAACTGGAAGTGATCCCGTGGTGGAAGTAGTGGTAGCGCTGAGAGAGGTAGTGTTGTTTTTCTATAATGTACACGGACATCGAAATTAGGAATAATACCATCATTTCTTAGAAATCCGAAATCATTAGTGATAAAATGCACGTTTCAGGATTAGTTCCCGGAAAACAAACATGAATTTTTGGAAAGACAAAATGTTGAAACGAATGTCATTCTGAAACGAAATACTGAAATGAACGATGGTCGAGCACAAATATTACATCAAACTTTGATAAACAAAACATAATCAATTAAATAACAAGATAATTTCAAGTAAAAAATATAAGAATATGCTACAAACATACAGCTTCTGTTTCTTTAGGCAAGGAAATTTTTTTCATCTTGTCGAAAACGCTTGATGGGAATTCTTGCAACGCATTACTGTCCGCGATAAGATCAGCAACTGTCGATGAAAAGTCAACGTTGTCCTCATTGATTTTATTTGGAAGGGGATTTCGCTTGAACGACCTTTTACAAGATGCTCGCTGTAAATCGCATACTATTGCATTAAGTGGCAGATATCGTGAATAGATAAGTTCACTTGACGAAATCATAAATCAGGCGAAATTGATTTCTCTATCAGTAAGTTGATATAGAAAATATATATGGAATTCTTTGGCCTCCTAGATTGAAATTTACTATCATTTAATATATTTGACAAAAAGTCTGGTAAAGAAAGTTTGTCTTAGCAAATAAAATTGACAAGTAAACGGAAAAACAAATGTTGGTATAAAAACAAGTGGAAAATACTCGAAATGGATTTATTATCATCGAATCAGCTCCTTGCGATAACCTTGTCGAAAGCAATGCGAATCCTTCATCCGCCTCGTTATCAATGCATAATTGTTTTAGTGATGATGACGATGATGATGATGAGACTGATAACCCTCGTCTGAAATCATTAGAATTTGTTTAACCTATATGTAAATTTTCGACAATACAAGGACCAATAAAAACTGTCTAACAAAAGTTAAAAGTTTCATGTAATTAAAATTCAGAAACTCAACAACACAAAAGCATCTTACGATCCACAAATTTAATCGAATGTTTGTTGGAATGAATGGTTCCAACAAACATTCGATTAGGAGTCGTGAAATTTGTTGGAACCATTCATCCGTTTATGTTTAATGTCCAAATATAAGATATACTCTTCCACGATTCTCACATAAACCGCTACCTGTTTTTGCGGACTCCTTTCTTAATAACATCACGCGGATTTTTCCACGCTGGACTTTTAACCGAATGTTTGTTGGAACCATTCATTGTTAAACTATACTATCCGGAATTTTTATATACCATTCCTGAAATGATCCATGGTGAAGTTCGGGATCCTAAAATTGTTACTTTTTTGCATTTATTTAATGTTCAAATATAAGATATACTCCGACAATTTCCGACTGGTGCTAATATTTTCGAATTACACAGGATGAATGAATTGTCAGCCGTAATTTTAAGCAAGGTGGAAGTGAAGAGAATAAAGGATGTGAAATTGAATGCTTTTCAAGATTAAAAAGAAGGAATTTAAAAAATATGTGGTTAAAGGTTTAAATGCAAAAATATTGTTACAGTTGTTCAGTACAATAGGTCTAACAACAGATGTAAGGTAATATAAAATTTAAGATGCGGTGAAGACCGCTATATACAGCAGTAAAACAAAGTAAGGAGAAATAACAGAAGATATCTCATCTGAAATGGGGAAAAATCAATACCATTAGCAAAAAGTGATTCACTAAGTGGACGAGAAAATGTTGGAAAGATTATAGCAGGTAATTGAAGTATAAAATAAAAGGAAACTATGAAAATGATAGTCGTTACAGTTATTGAACGATCGATTTCGGGATTATTTACAAGTTGCTGACGAACTTTATTCCTGATAAACTATATCAACCTGAGGACATAGAACAAAAAAAAAAATTGCATGATGCGTTTCGATTTAAAAATCAGAAAAAAAAAGGGAACCCCGGCATAACCAAGCCAACTTTTCCGGAAACTAAAGGGAATAGCTCAACTACAATTTACACATTCGTATGAAAAACCCTGTCACTTCAGAAATTTGAAAATAAAAAAAGTGCCACCAATTTGAAGCTTATCAGTTATTCGGTGGCCAGCTGAATAAGCGGGAATGTGAAATGTAACACCAAAAAAAGAAGAAATTGTCTTAATATTCCTCTCAGTCGTTCTTCTTGATAAACAGGACTAGTACCATTTCTACACAAACCGGGTCCAGTACCGGTGCCAATCAATATCAGTACAATCCGGCACCAAAAATTTCCATCACTACTATGAGAGAACGATATGATGAAAATTGTCATGTTTACGAATATTTGAACAAATCTGTATAATTCCTTCATTTCCGGATGTTATCCCAATAAGCCAACCAATTATTAGACAAACCAATTGATAAGTAAATTAAATTAGATAGCAAACTAATTAATTACTTGACAGAATATATGGATCAAAAATGGAAAACTAATAATGAAATAAGTGCTGATGGAAAAATAATAGCAACAAGAAATATATGAAATATTATCGGAAAGATTAACATTGAAAAAGATTATTTATAATATTTCGCTTCATTTTTCTCTTCCTTTTTTCATTGAAAATAAAATGTAAAAATGATGCTTATAATTATTATTTTTTAATCAAGTCTTTTTTTTTCCAGAATTATTTTATTTATTCGACATTTTTTGAACATTTCAAAAATATGATGACTTTAAATTCCGGAAAGAAATTTTTCACTTTTAAATTTGATTGGATTAGATAAAATATAATTGTAAATTGTGTGAATCATTAAATTTAATTGGACAAAATATTATTGTGCATTTTGTAAGTGAAATATGTCAAAAAATTTTTCTATAGGAATTGAAGGAGAATAGGACACAGAAAAAAAAGAAATGTGCATTAAAAAGAAAAAAAATGATTGATTTAACTGAAAAAAGAAATGGATGAAGTTTGTATTAGAATTTGAAAAAAATTGTAAATAAAATTAAATCTTGTTTTGCAAAATTAAAAAACATGATGAATTATTGATCCAGTTGAAATGAAAAAAGACATTAAAATGACACCATATAATTTAATGGATATAATTGAAAAGAAATAACTTATCGAGAAATTTTCATTCCATCTAAAACTACAATTGAATTTCCATCCAAAAATTCGCAATCACTAATAATTTTGCACAAAATTGAAGACGAAATTCAAATTTGCATAATTTTATTCAATTTAATAGAATATACAGAACGAATATAATTATATTAACAACATTAAATCATAACATTAATATTATAATCATGGAATAATGATAGAATTTTATGTTATTCAATATGATATTCTAAAAGAACTTTACTTCTATTTAATGAGCAAAGAAAAAAAAATCTAAGAATGAAATTCATATAAAATTTGTTATTTGAAATGAATGTTAAACAATTTAGATGATTTTCTTTTTTTTTTGCTCATTTTTTGGTTCTTGTACTTATCATACATCGTTTTTACTTTTTTTTTTATACAAAATCCTTCGCAACTGTTATTAGTTAATTCGCTAATTTATTTAAATTATGAAATTTACCTTTTTTGTTTTTGGCTCAATGAATGGTAAATTACTATCCATTTACTGTTTGTATGTACAAATATAAATATAAATATATATTTAGAATTCTAATACTTCTACTAATATTATACAGTACTTAAAATACATTCTGCAAATAGTGGTAATATTGTATAATGATTATAATATTAATTAAATAAATATTGATGACTTAAGTAAAACACATAACAAATATCATATAACACTTATAATAGATTACATAAATATTGATAACTAATATCATATAATACATTATGCAAATATTGATATATTTTGAACATTTCTACATTTATATAAAATTATATGTAAATTTTTATTTGCGATATACGAAAAGGAATATTAAAAAAAAAATGAAAGTAAAATAATTGGGAAAACAAGGGAGAAAAAGTTGGTAGAATGTTTTCACTTTGAATTACTTCCGGAATAAAAATAGTCTATCTTCAAAGTAGTTGGAATTAATTTGCGTACCCATTTCTTTTTTTTAATACCAATGAACTGTTAACAGTTTTGAAAAATGGGTTAATGGGATATAAAATTAATATACAGCAGTTTTTTTTTTTGTTGTGTTACAGTGTTCAAATGAGAAATATGATTAATTTCAATTTTAATCCAATGAATTTTGATTTTAATTCAATAACTTATTTGAAATGTTAAAACGATTAACTGCCAAAATTTTCCTACTAATTGTAGCGATGAAATAAAATTGTTAAATAGAGTAGATGAACTATTATTTAAAAGTTTTTGCTTAAATTTCATTAAAATGCTTAAAGTAGAGAAGAAAAAGAAATGGAAGAAAATGAAAAAGTAAATGATACTGTTAATTTGCCAGTGAAATAAATTTGAAGAAAAGAAAAAAAAAGGTATGACAAATTCTTATAAACCAGAAATGATGAAAATTTCAAAAGAATGTGAAAAAAATGACTAATATATTTGATAAAGTTCCGTTGTTTTAACTGTTCACTAATCATTTTATGACGTAATTTATTAAAACAAAAAGAAAAAAAAAGAAAAATGAGGAATAAAATAACTAACAAATGAACTAATCGTTTGTTGGAGGAACTAAAAATGTAAAAGGGAATGATTAAAATGATCAAAAAATAATTGCACTAATTTAGTGCAGTCAATTAATTTAATTAATCTATTTCTTTTTTTTGTTCTCTTCTTTTTTAGTGTTGGTAGAAGAATTATTTTATATTTTACTTTGCATTTCAAGGCCATTTTTTCTTGGCTTTTAAAGGAAAAAACCAGTTTTATTTTTCTTTTCCTTTACTCTATACATTGATATTAATTAATCCATTTCATATTTTTAATGTCTGTAGGACTATCTTACATTCCAAGGCCTTTTTTCTTTGGTTTTTAAAAAACCAGTTTAACTCCTCCTTTTCCTATTTTTGCCTTTCTTTTTTCTTAAACTTTGGAATGAGTATAAAAGTTTTAGAACTGGTAATTTAGGTTTCTTTTTGCGCATCATCGGTCATCATCTTCCGCACAACGTCATCATTTACGACATTTTTCCTTTCCAACTGCCTACTCTTATTAATACAAAAAATTAAATTCTTTTGAGCTTACTTATTGAAAATAGAAAAAAGAAAATTTTGTACTTTAAAAATGCGTAATATATATGTACTAATTTCGGTTAAAATTTCAGATTAGATTTCCAGTTTTCAAGGTTTATTGATTAAATTTCGATTCAGATTATTAATGCGTTTTTTTTTCTTTTAGTTCTTTTGTTTAAGCGAAAAAGATAAAAGCGATGTAAAATATGCCAAAAATTACAAAATAAATATGAAATATATTTAATGATAATTAATTTAGTTAAATTGAATTTTAGATTCAACCATGGGAAAGATGGAATATGTCGCATCACAATTTGGTTATTTTATTAGTACTTATCCTCTGCTAACAATTGGTTCAACATTGATGCTTTCTTTTTCAATCATTACTGCATTTATATTTAATCCAATTATTATCGAAACGGATATACGGCATGGTTTTGTAAATCGAAATAGTCGTTCGGTTTTAGAATTTCAAGTAAAGAAAAAAATTATTCAAATATATAAATTTACAATTATTGTCAATCGCTCCCTTTTTACAATCATTGCTTAAAATTTTTGTAAAAATTAATAAAGATAGGGAAAGCGGACATTGATAGGTTTGAGTTAATTAATGATTATAATAAGATGAGTAATGATAACAACGACAAGGGTCACAGTGATAATAACAGTGATAAACAATAATAATTGGGGGATCGATTACGACTCAAATACTTATTCTTTAAAGCTTTTACAAAGATTTCAAACAATGAATAGTTGACGGTTAATGAACATCTTCGAACTTTTTCTCTTTCCCAATTTCAAATTAGACTTTTAATTGGCAGGAAAAGCTGCAAATATTCATTATTTGCATCCAGAACTGAATATGAGTATTGAATATTTCTAAAATCTTTTCTTCATGAATAGCAGCAACCTGATAGTATCATTTCGAAGGTACCATCGGAAGATTTGAGCAGGTTAGGAGATTCAGGAAAAGATAAAAAAAGAAAGGAGAAAAATCGGAGCGATTGATTATTATTATAATCTGGGTTTATTGTATTGTTTTTCCATTTCTCGTTGGTAGTTTTACAGCGTTTTGCGGAATTTAACAATGCTTCATGGAAGGATATGGAAATGATGGCTGTATTGATTCAACCAAAATATCTAAATGAAACAGTTCTTCAAATTACGCCTCAATTATGTGATGAAGTAAATATAATCTCTCGTTGAGTAATACTTATACTTTCTATGACAATTTCATTCAATTTCAGGAAAAAAAATCCATAATATCGAATAAGTTTTTTAAAAGTTTTTTTCATAAGTTAAATCATCAGTTCAATACATTCAGATAATTCCTTTTTTTTTCTCAACTTTCTTACTTAATTTGTCACCTTACTTAATTATTTTTACCATAGACATAATTAATTTGAAGTAGAGGTATGTGTGTGTTAAATGTAACAGGGCGTACTTTTTTTTTTTGATTACGTTTTAACATGTGATTAGAATTACATTGTAAACGACAATAGTTCATGACCTTTTCAGTGATTGAACAGGGAAGAAATTTTAAAATGAAGTTAAACTTAAAGTTCAATTTAAATCAAAAAAAAGATAGGTTGTAGGCATTATTGAGCAATACACAAAAAGAAAGGTCACTGATGATTATCGTTTGGAAATACATCAGAAAAAATACATCCTACATGAAAAGCAAAAAGTCATAATTATTGTATTATTATGTCATGACAAGATTATTTGATAATCTTTAACAATTATATTTAAAATTTATATGAAATCAAATTGAAGTAAGTACTGATCAGTGAATCTTTTATGATAATCATATCTAATCATTTCTTATACAAAATATTTATTCTCAGTAATTTGTTACGAAAGTTTTGAATAACTGAATATTTGTTGTTGAAAATTTATTAATGGATAAAAAAGTATTGTATGTTAAACAAAACTTTTCAAAAAAATATTAAATACAGAATTGAGTACCAAATTTGTTGAATTAATAAGTATAGAAGTATACAGTTCCTTGAATAATTTGAGTATATGGATGTTGAATGAGTAATTGAATACAATTAAATAATTAGAATAACTATATAAGCAATAGAATTATAAAAACTTCCTCTCTTGATTACCTATCCGAATCTCTTTTGTAATGTGATTTAGTTGAGTTTGTAGCAATCAGAAAAGTTGAAATTGATTGACACCAGGTTGACCTGAGATTCTTTACAATATGTCAACATTGCATATATACTTAATTACTAACATGAGTTGATTTACAGTATCTTAACTTACAAATTAATAAATCACTACCCATTCATTTATGAATCTTCATACTTTTTTCCATCATGAAACGTCACGAAAGGCAATGTAATTCGTGACAATTAATTAAAATATGCTATTTGTCATAGACTTACACTTTGATTAACAAAAATATTTCCATGCCTATTTGTATTATTTTCAAATTTTAAATTCGTCATATAAATTTAGTAATTAATGTTACTGCAATATAATAATAACTAATTTTAAAAATTTAAACATAGGAGAAAGAATAGTGCTAAATTAAATTTGCAAAAAAAAAATTAAGAAAATTTGAAAACGTAATACTTCACTAGTTTTTAATAATTCCTGTAGAAAAGAATAACTAAAAATTTTACTACAATCTAATGATTGTTTATCATTTAGAAAGTTTTATGAAATATCGAAGCAAAGATTTTTCAAAAAAATTAAATGCATTTTTATTTGTTATATATTTTTTTATTATTATCGTAATTTACATATACATTCGTTCTATTATATCATTAATTGGAGATATGGCAAAACAAAAAAAAAAATAAATTTTTTTTCAAAGTTAATTAATTTTTCAAGTTAATTAAGATTTTTTTCCAAGGAAATTTCTAATTAAATCTTTTAAGTTCAAGTGGACTTTTTTTTAAAAATAAAAATTCACTTAAAAATTTGTTAACTACTTCTATTTCAGATCTTCGACAAATAATTTTAATAATAACAAATATAATGACTAATCATATTATTTTTAATTTACGTACTTTTTTAAATGCATACAAATAATCACTCGTATTTGTCGATATCAAATAATACAATTAATACACGTAAGAACACATGTAAGAACACACGTAAGAAGACATGAGATCATATTTTTGAAACTTTTGAATTAAAAAAAAGTGAAAATATCTTTCAAACCATTAATAGTAACAAACATCGCTAATATCGGAATGACGAGATTTACGGAATTATGCTACCGACATAAGATATTTTAATATTCCGGAAAAAAAAATAAAACAAGCAGTGGTAGATTGAGAAGGGTCAAAATCTTCTCATTTAAAAAAGAAAAAAAACTTAATTGAATTTCTATTAAATTTTCTTAAGTTCATTTAGGCTTTTTTTTCATTCTCTTTTTATACAATGTTATGAAAGGCTTAGCTTTTTGCAGTATGAAATTTAAAATGAAACTGATAAATATCACAAATGAAAATTATTTGTTTCCGTATTTTGTGGTCCTTTGAAAAATATTACTAAATTTTAAGCATAATCAAACATTAGTTTAACATCAACTTAATTAATTTACATGGTATTTTGCTTTGAATTTTGCTTTTGACTTTTTTGACAGTATTTTGTTTTTGATTTAATTTTAAAATTAAGTTAATATTACGTATATTCCATTTCTTTTTTGTTGAATTTACCTGTATTAGAATATCGCATATAAAGATTTCATAAGGATTAGGAATAGTATCATTTGGTACCGTTAAATATGACTAGATTAATTAATTTGATTGATATACTGCTTGAATATTTGTTTGCATCTAACTTTGTATTTACATAGTTCATATTTAAGTTTTATAATAACACTCATTTTGTCAGAAAACTTCATTTTATTTCTTTCAGATCTAATTTTTATCAGTTACCCTTGCAAAATTTTATTACTTTTATTTTTGAATGTAATCATTTCATCAATTGCCAACAAACATATTTGCTTCATTTGTTTGGATTCAAATTCTTTTCATTCATCATCAAAGTTACAGATAATTTTAAGAAAAAAATTTTTTTTTTCTCTTACACTATTCCAAAGAAAAAAACAATTATTAGCTTTGTAATTTTCAGATAAAGGAACTTAAATTGCTCATCGAATCATTCGAAATTCCTGATAGTAAGGAACCAATTAGATATGATGAATTTCGCATACCTGGCAATAATATTAATTATTTCTTCGATGCTTTCAAAGTATGAACATGAATTTGAATATCTTCTCTCAACCAATTCACATCTATGATTAGAATTACGTTAAGTAGCTAAGGAAAGCATTTTAGGCTAATTTCGATTTATTCAATCTAATCTATTATTTTTAATTTATGTTCCACTTCATTATCTAGATATATTTACACCTCTACTTGCTTAATGGCCAAATTTTTAAAATTTTTCTCATTGTCATTTTTTTTAAAATGTCAAAGCGAAATTTACTTTGAAAAAATAATACGCTAATTAAACAAAAGAGAAGTAATCACAAAAGTTATCAACAAAAATAAACTATATTGATTGAAAGATTTATATTATTGCTGCAGTTTGGTTACGATCTTGTGACTCTCAATAACAAAAGTGATGGATCAATTATATTGTCATATCCTCAAGGATCAATTTTTGGACATCATATCTCCTTAGCGTCACATTTCTTTGGTGTTAAAGTGACTGAAAATTTCATGGAAAAGGTTTTATTATGTTACTGTAAAAAAACTTACTAAAGCTATACTTAAAAAAGTGCAAATTGCAAGAAATTAAATTGTAACAGCATTATATTTTTACAATTTATTTCGACAATTTTACATCAATTCATTCATATATATTATTATTAATATTAGTAATAATTTCAATCCATTAATGCATAAATATTAAGGTACAGTTTTCTGTTTCTTTTTTGAAATTTAATTTAAATTATTTTAGGGATTACCAACAGCAATGGAATCTGCCAAAACAATCGCATTATTTTTTATGGTAAAAGCTCATGGATTTTCGCAAAAATATCGTTTACGTCAATGGCAACTCGCATTGCATCAATTAAGCGAAAACGAGAATTACTCAGATTTATTTGTCTTTCACATCTATGGTGATCAGGTGAGTAGCAATTGTCGACTATCAATTGTGACAAAGATTGAGGGTTATTTCTATCCTCGTTGATTGGTAATACTCTTAAACTTGGATAATTAAAACCTTTATTACGATAAGCTTGCTAATACAATAAATAAATTAGTAGTTATGGTTTCGAAGAAATGAATTAACAATGATAACGTTAGAAATGATAACGTTTCATGCGCTAACAAACACCTCAATGATAACTTGTTTATTTATCAATCTTGTTGAACTGCAATCTTCAAAATACTATTAGTGCTCAGGATTCTCTGTTTCATTGAGTAGGAACGACCGCGGAACCATTCTGAGATTACAAGAATTAGCATGTTTGTTAGCGCATGTGAAATGGAGCTCTTCGTTAGCAATGAAGAGATTACAAGAATTAGCATGTTTGTCAACGCATGTGAAATGGAGCTCTTCGTTAGCAATGAAGAGATTACAAGAATTAGCATGTTTGTCAACGCATGTGAAATTTTTTACAACAATTTGTTAGAGTACATGAACACAGTGAATACACAATTTTAGCTTACATTTTACACTGTATAGTAAATTTACAAAATGATATCAAATTTATAACAAAGGAATTACTGTTAAATCGTTTCTTTCCCTTGTAATAAGCAACGTACGTTAACATTTCCTTGGTTACAATTAATAAAGTCTACTGATTAGAATCACAGCGAATGATATTGAAATTATTCAATTAATTTTTCTATCATTTCAAAAGTCATCGTAATATCATTGTTTATCATTATCGTTTTGCTGATATATTCATTACCGTATTCTGTTTTAGTTCATTACAGCATCTTTTGAATACTTAATCTAACAATTAAATAATTGTAAATGTAATTTCAAATGCTTATTTTTGAATTCTTGAAAATTTGCATGTTATAAATTGGAGAATAAGCATTCATTTTTCTGACATACGTGGATTGTTAAAGATTCCATTAGTTCATTATCAAACTATGCTTCAAAATTTCATGCTAATATTTCAAAATTTTTATAAACCAAAAGCATTATACCAATTCCGACAATTATAAGTCGATAATTATCATTTATATTTCATTATTATATGATTAGATTTATTTGCACATATCTACCAGCGATTAAGTTATATCTTAATTTATTTAAAGAATTGGATAATTAAAAAAAAAGAGTTTAGCTTAAGGTGAAAGCGAATTTTTGAATATATTAATTGGAGATATATACTTTAAAATACCATCAATAAGTTTCTGAATTTTAATTAATCAGGAAAAAAATTCAATTTTATTTGAATATATTTGGTTAATGCAAATATATTCAATTAAATTTAATTAAATGCCCAATTTCATTTAAATGATTCCATTCGGTACTTTTTCATGTTCTCAATTTTTTTTTTTTTTTTTTGTTTCATTTTTGATAACTTCAGATTGCAAATGTAGAAATGGAACGAGGAAATTTAAAATCGGTGAAATTATTTGTTATCGGCGTATTTATGATGTCTGTTTATATGGCACGTGTTTTGCACATGTTTACAATAAAAAGTAAGGTAAGAAAAAGTGAAAAATAATCAATCTTTATTCATCTTTTTTTCTCTTACAAATGCTTTCCTCTTATTAATTAATTTGGAAAAAAAGAGGAAAAATCTTAATAAAATTTAAGATGAACAGATTTCTTACATTATTATAATACAATTTTTTTTTTTCTTAGATTATAGTTATAGCATTTAACCTTTGACCATATCCCAATCTATGCGATTATATTTGAAATTCATACAAATTTCCAAAAATTAGAAATAAAAAATTACAATTAATTTTTCCAAAACTACATTTTCTTTCTTTGTTATATGAAATTTGCATTTTTTTTTTTTTTGTTGCATGAAATGAGTGAGTCAATGGGAGGTTTTTTTCCGTTATTGTAATGATTAATTGTGGGGAAAAAAAAAGGATAAAACTTTGTTCTTTTTAAAAAAAATTTTATTTTTTTCTTCTTTTTGCTCAACTGAAAATTCATTACTCATAAAAATTCTGGGAATAATTTCACAAAAGGTAAAATGATACAGCAAAATCTGTCAGTGTTTCTTTTTCTTTTTTCCACAAACTACAGAATAATTTGAATTAATTAATTTTTGAACACAAAATTAATTTAATGACAATCAATCAAATATTTATCATTGTAAAAGCTTCGTTAAATATAGAAAAAAATTTCGATATATGCAAAATAACACTGTGATTGAAATTTACATGTTTTGAGTAATTTTCGAATTTTTCTGACATTTTATAAAATTTCTTGAAAAATTTGGACATTTTCAAAATTCATTCGAAAACTTTTTAGATTTTGATTATAATAGCAGCAATTGCATCACCTCTATTAGCGACAATCGTTTCATTCGCCTTAATGCTATGGCTTAAAATTTCAATAACATCAACTGCTGGCCTTATACCCTTGCTTATGATAGGAATCGGTAATGCATTACTTCATTATTGTTACATTTTAATTTAATTAATTCCAAAACATTTATAGCATAATCAAATTTACAATGTTTATGTATAAAAATGACGTAAAATTGTTAAATAATAGAAATGAACAAAGAATTGCATTTCAGTCGTTAATTAAATCGTTTAATGATTTCAATTCTTAACTTTTGGAATAAATGGAAAACGAAAAAACTTTTATTTTCCGTCAGACTTTCATTTATTATTGTATTTTACAATATTATTTCCTAACAATTTATTATAATGCTCTAAAATTTTCTCCCAATTTTTACTGAAATTTTAATATTACATTGTTTTGAGTCGGTCATTATGACCACTTAGAAGTGCATTGAAAAAAAGTTTATGATGATCATTTGTAGAGAATTAAAATTTGAATCAGATTAGCTTTTTCACGGAATAGTTTAACAATTGAAATTCTTTGTTTAAAAAAAAAATACAAGAACTTATCAGTATCGCTCATTTTGATAAACAGATTTCAAGATATCATTTAATAATATTTTCTGATTTCATAAATTTTATTTCAGGTGTTGACGATGCATTTCTTTTAATTCATGCCTGGCAAAATTACTTGCCAATTTCGGACAAACGAAAGCGTATGGCAAAAGTGATAATTACAGTTGGGCCAAGTATAAGCATTACATCGGTTACTAATATTATTGCATTTGGTGTTGGCTCAATAACTGCATCACCAATGGTTATTGTTTCTTTTTTTAATTACAAAATAAGAAAATAAAACGTACTAATTTAATTGATTGAAATTTTTTTTCTTTGTAAATATTTAAAAATATTTGCTAAAATTAGACAAATATATCGTAAAATAAAGTATTAATTGATATTATTAAATGAACAATATTACGACATATTTTCTTTTTTTATTATAACATATTTTAGGGAAAATAATGAAACTTATTTATAATACAAATTTATTTTTATGTATAACAGATAAGTTTCAAAATGTTATAAATTAGTTTTGGTAAGAAGAAAAAAAAAGAGAGATTGAGATGAAACAATTTTTGACTAGTTAATTAAATTAATTTTGGATGAGATAGTTAATTTTAAATAATTAAATTTAATTTTAGATGAGTTCCTTTTGTTTATGCATGTTAATAGCAGTTACAATAGATTATATCCTTGAATTAACCATTTTTGCACCAACACTTGCTCTTACCACATATTTTGAGAATGATAAACATCCCAAAAAACGACAATCATTCTGGTTCGTTTATTGTATTTTCATTTTTTTTTTTCCAACGTTCATATTTGATAAAAATAAAAAAAAATTGCACTTTGAAAATTTGAAAATATTCCAAGAATGAGTTTTTTTTTTTAGTTATTATCTATCAAAATTTCTGTGCAATAATTGTCAAACATTAAAAATATCAATTAATTAATTTTTTTTCAATGAAATTTAAAATGGAAAAAATTATGTCAACATTAATGATATCATTTTTTTTCTTCCAAATATTTCAATCGTTGGCTTTTTCTTTCTTCCTCATTTTTCCCCTTAAAATGAAACTAAAAAAAAAAATATTTAAGATTTAAAATCAATTTTAATCTCATACAAAAAACACATAATTTCCTGCTTTTTTCCTTCCTGTTTCAAAATTTAAAAGTTGAAATAATTTCAGTCTTATGAATACTTATAAGATGAATATTTTAGCCATTCGACTCAACGCTGGATTTTACTTTCTAGATTTGTTATATCTAAAATTGGTTTAATAATTATCCTCATCATACAAATAATTTTGTATGTTATTGCTACTGTGGGTCTTGCACGTATGAGAGCAAACTTTGACCCCAGCAAAACATTCTCATCTGATTCAAAATTAAATATATGTGTACAAATTGTTGATTACATCTTTCGTGAGGTAAAAGTTTACTTCGAAAAGTTTTTATCTGACAAAATGATTGAATTGGCTTAAAAAAGTTTTTTCAATAATCTTTTGTAATAATTAGCTTTTGTAAAAATAACGATTGAAATAATTATAGTAGAATTTGGAATAATAATAATATCAATAATAATAATAATAATGATTGTAATGATAATAACGATAATAGGAAATAATAATAGCGACAATAATAGCAATCATAATAATGATGGACATGATGATAATAATGATAATAATAAAAATTGTAAGCAAAAACCAAGGATAAAAAGAGTTCACGAAAAAATTAGCTCAAAAAAAAGGATTTAAAAATGATTTTTAATCTTTTGCTAAATATTTTTGCAGTACGCTCCAGCAATTTTTATCGTCAATAATCCACCTAATATTAGTAATGCTACACAATATAATGAATTTATGGAATTAGTTAAGAAATTGGAAAAACTTCCCACATCATACGGATCAGAGAGAACGTTCCTGTGGCTTCGAGATTATGTCAAAGTAAAATTTTTCATTTCTTTTTCAATACTATTAATGACAGATTTCTTTAAATTAATAAATTAATTAATAAAGTAAAAGTTCTAATTTATGACGATCACATCACTATTATGATCTGAATTATAAATTTTATATCCTTTTTTTACCTTTGCCTTTTTTGTCGTTTTTTTTTTTGAAATAATAAATAATAATGATGAAAATTACTGAAATATTTCAAACCATTTGATATTATTATTATTATTTGAATTACGCTGTTGCAATGAGCTTTTTTTAAAGCAAAATGTTAACTAATGAAAAATTTAAAAAACAAAAAACTACTGAAATAAAAATTAACGAAATTTTTCCAATTAATTGCAATTCAATGCACAATGTTTTCTTTTTCTTTTTACACCTTTACAATCTTTAACAAATATTTGTTATCCTTTTGTTAGCGTTAACACATTCACTTAAATTATTATTTATTAAAAAAAGATAATTAAACAAAAACATTGAAATAACAAATTCTTAATTCATTTGAAAGATTTAAATTGAATAAATTGAATAATTTTAGATCCATTATAAATTGTAGGAAAAAATGTGAATGAAATGAAATATGCATATGATGATATGCTAAGAATTTAATCTTATGAAGTATATTTTGCATAATTTTAACATATTAAACAAAAAATTTGAATAAAAATTTAAAATTTTCCTAACCTAAATTTAGCTTTCCTTTTTCAGTATCTTAAAAAGAAAAGGAAAAAAGCTGGCTATCGTAATATTAATTTTACCTATCAATATGTGCCCAAATTTCTCGCTAGCAGATTTTTGGCTGATAAGAATATTTTGCATTATCATATCGTTAATAGGTATGTTATTTGATATTATCCTAATTATTGCATAATTTAGTGTTATTACCTATTAATTTAATACTGGCCAAGATAAAAAGATTGGCAATATATATTTCGATTAACTCAAGATATTACCACTTCTACAGCTACACCAGTTAAGTTCCATTAACAGAAAACTTTTTCCATCTAATTATATGTCGTTATGCTACCACCATCATCATCATCTCCATCATCATCACCATCATCATCATCATCATCATCATCATCAATCATCATCATCAACCACAATTTAGGCTTCAGGAGCGAAAATTTTGGAAAAGCTCTCGCCACATGTTACAAATTTGGTGTAAACGCTGCGCATGTGAGTATATTCCACATGCGCAGATGGATTTTTTTAGGTGAAGCACATGACCTTACCTTTTACTCCAAAAGTTCATTTACTAACGTTCAACGAGTTAGAACGGTGACAGTGAAGTCTTGAGGACGTAAAAGATTCTTAGATGGATGGCTTTACAGGATTAAACGAGTTCCATCTGTCCTTTTCCTGGGATGATTGCCAGAATGCTAACGAGTCCATCCTGCCCATTGGATATACTTTCGCTTAACCCTTCAGTTGAGACCTAACTGATATGGGAGACTTTTGTCGTAGGCATATACTATCACTAGCATGGCTTATAACCTCATTAGGGTATAATGCGACAAGAGGATTTTCGTGGCGACACAGCTTTCCATATCATTCTACTTTATGATGAACAGTATGATGATATCAATGCAACAGCATACCTGATATGATATAGACCGTTTTCGGAAACAAAATGATTTTCCGTTTCTATCAGTCATTTATTAATTGGATGACGTAATAATATGTACAATATAGTTTTAATATTGAAATTAAAATGAAAATTTTGGCGGATTATAGAATTTATTTTTAAAAACGAAGCATTATTTATTGAAATTAGAAAATTAAGTTCAATCATTGCATGCATTTTCAATTTAAGGAATTCAGTTATCATCGATAGCTTTTTATTTATAACAGTTTCACATGGAATAGATGGATGGACACAACGAGCTGATTTCCTCGGTTTGTTTTAATCAATTTGAAAATTTTAATTAAATTTAGAAAAAAAGAAAGTAAAAATTTTTGATGGATCAAATTTAAACTATTGAATAGATAATAGTTAAAGATAATAGTTAAATATAATAGTTACTTGGATATGAAAAATGAAAAATATCAACTGGATAACTTAATTACTTTTATCTTGAAACAGAAGAGATTTCGAGTCGAAACCTAAAATTAAATATACTTTGACTGGTAACTTTGAATAGAATGCATTTGAATGTATTAAAATGTTTGCGTAAATGTCTGTATTAAATTGGTCATTCTTGAAATCTAACCATTTTATCCCACTAGAATTATCATTCTGTTAAATAAATTATACCTTAGGTTTAGGGTTTTAAATGCTTAAACTCTTCAAACTCTAGAATGCAAATTTCCGTATAATTTCATTATATGAAACTAGATAATTCTGCAATTCTGCAATTTTTGGTAGATAATTCTGCAATTAATTAATCTTAATTTAATTAATAATTTACTAAAAACATATAAATTATTCCGACACATATAATTCACTTCTAAAATTGAAACATTTTAGATCCTATTCGATCTGTTTTGGATGAATATCCGCAATATAATATAACTTTGTTTGATTATGATGGCACAATTTTTGATTTGATATCAAGTGTTAAGGTATTATTAAACTTGCTTCTGAAACAGCTATAATTTCAACTTTGAACAACTGTTTGTCAAAGTAATTAATGATAATAATCAAGGCAATATTTGGTCATATTTCTGTAAAGATTAAACTTGAAAAGAAGCAATTATATAATTAATTATGAGTAACCTTAAAATGCTCATTTATCCTTTTTTATAATGGATAAAAAACAACTGAAATAAATTA